AAAAAAAAAAAAAAAAAAAAAAAAAAAAAAAAAAAAAAAAAAAAAAAAGATAGATGAAACAAGCCTAGTCCTGTGTTAGTAACTGCTGAAACTGTGTTAATAGATCCAGGGAGAATTATTACACTATTCTCTCCACCTATGAATCTGAAAATTTTTGTAACATAAAGTCCATTTTAAAAACTGAAATATTTAACGGATTTAAGAAATAATTTTGAAACATTTCTCTACTCAAAATACAACATAACCATTTCGGTGATCATTCAAGAATCTCAATTCTTTCCATGTACTTAATTAAATTAATAGAGCTTAATGACTATTTTAAGTTGCATAGAACAGTGACAGCAGGAAAAATAAATTGCAACTAAAAATCTGTGGTTGAGGATGGGCATGGTGGCTCACACCTGTAATCTAAGCACTTTGGGAGGCCATGGCGGACAGATCACTTGAGGTCAGGAGTTCAAGACCAGCCTGGCCAACATGGTGAAACCCCGACTCTACTTAAAAATACAAAAATTAGCTGGACATGGTAGTGCACGCTTCTGGCCCGGCCACTTGGCAGGATGAGGCACCAGAATCACATGAACCCAGGAGGCAAAGGTTGCAGTGAGCTGAGATCACACCACTGCACTCCAGCCTCGGTAACAGAGCCAGACTCCGTCTAAAAAAAAAAAGAAAACTGTGGTAGATTACAACACTCTACTCTTAAAATGCTGAAATACATTGAAGTCATATATGAAATAAAATAATCACTAATAGAAATAAATTAAGGCTGGATGCGTTGACTCATGCCTGTAATCCCAGCACTTTGGGAGGCTGCGGTGGGAGGATCACTTGAGCCCAAGAGTTCAAGGCCAACCTGGGAAACATAGCAAGACCCTGTACCTACAAAAGAAAAAAAAGAAAGAAATTAGTTACCTCTCTCAATTTTTCTCGCTCACGCTCCCTCTCAGCAATACGTTTTCGCCTCTCTTCCTCTTCCTTAAGAGCATTTTGTGTTTCTGTTCTCAGTTTATCATCTTTAAGAATCTTTCGAATTTTCTTTCTGCCTTTTCCAGGAGACTTGGAATCATCATTTTCATCTTCTTCTTCCTCCTCCTCCTCTTCTTCCTCCTCTTCTTTTTCCTCCTCTTCTTCCTCGGAATTACTCTATAGAATTTAAACAATTAGAGGTAAACAGTACAAAGTCATTTAATTTATCTGATTCATATTCCATTAATTAACATGCCAGGAAAAGGTAGGAAAAAACATGCTGAAAACCATTAGAATTATATTTAGCAATAAAGAATAGTGTTATTTTAAAAACCAACTCTTCAACATCTATTAAAAAAACAAACAACTCAATTAAAAATTGGCTACAGAGTAGAATAAACATTTCTCAAAAGATATAAGCACATGAAAAGATGTTGAATATCACCAGTCATCAGGAAAATACAAATAAAAACCAGAATGAAATGCCACTTCCCACTCATTAGGATGTTTCTTGTTAAAAAAAAGAAAGAAAAAAAAGAAAGGAAGTGTTGGCAAAGATGCAATCAAACTGGAACCTTGGTACACTTCTAACAGGAATGTCAAATGTTAGAAACTAGAGAGAAACAGGATGGAGTTTTCCAAAAGATAAACATACAACTACTACATGATGTAGCAATTCCATTTTTCCATATATACCCACAATAATTAAAAGCAGAACTCAAACAGATATGTATACGCCCATATTCATAATAGTATTATTCAAAATAGCCAAGAGGTAGAAACAACCTAAATGTCATCAACAGATGACGGGGCTAACAAAACATGACATACACATACAGTGGAATATTATTCACCTTAAAAGGGGAATGAAATTCTGATACATGCTACAACATGGATGAATCTAAAAAATATTATGCCAGTGAAATCAGCCAAATACAAAAGGACAAATATTGCATGATTCAACTTATTTATATGAGGTACTTAAAATATGCAAATTCAGAGAGACATAAATGAAAATAGAGGTTACCAGGGGATGGGGGATAGAAGAGAATGAAGTTTATATTTAATGAGTAAAGAGTTTCTGCCAGTGAATATAATTAAGGCCACTGAATTGTATACTTTAAAATATTTAACAAGTTAATTTTCAAAAAATAAATATCCCTCTGGAAAAGCATTGTGTTGACAGAATCAAACTTACTATAGACTCCTTTTACTTTGTGTAAGTCTGCTTATATACAAAAAATTCAAATTGGCTAATTTTGTTACCAGAAGAAATTTATTCACATATAAGTCATCATTCAGGATAGTATTTCGTCTTCAGAAAAGAGAACATTCACATCACTACAAATACAAAATGAGGAATTAGAATGGCTTAAAATTCCATTAAAAATTAAGATATAGAAAAAAACTGATAATGTCAAATTAATACTTTTACATATATATTTTTTTCAATAAACAAATCCTTCCACAAGCATAAAATGTAAAGAAGCCAGCAGAATACAATGAATGAATGAAACCAGGCAGTAACAGCATAATTACTACAGTATACTGTACCAGTCATAATCCAAGCATGTGGTAAATGTCATTATTACCTTGTTTTCACTGGATGAATCTTCTTGAACCTTAATACGTCGCCTTTTCTTTTTCTGTTTATAGCTCCGCTGATTTTCTTCCAACTCTGCTTTCTTTGCAGACCTGAAGAAAATTTAAAACACGAAATAAAATATTTCATGACAGATTTCCATCAACAAATTGTGTACTATTTTAAAACTGTTCTACCTCTGTATGCATTCCTAAAAACAAAGAGGAAAAACAGAAAAAAAAATCAATAGATTCAAAATAGATATTACAGCAGAAGCCTAACCCTTAATTTTAATCTAATCATCAACATTTTACAGTATCCTGAGGGGAGGTTTGTTATATGAGTAAGAAGATGCATGAAAGGACATTTAAGTCCTAAGACATTATTCTTCTAGTGAAAAATACGAACAGCAAATAGACATATTAAAAAGCATTCATCATCACTAAAAAAGGCAGATTACAAAAGCTGAGTACTATTGTCTTCATAAGAACAAATTTAACATTTCTCTTCATAATAAGAAGAGATTTTTAAAAACAGTAACAACTTTTGGTGAGAAAAATATTTCTGGGCTTAAAAACTGGTACACAAAGCTACATTAATCCATACAAAATAACCACCGTCAGTAAGGATGTGGAGAAAGGGAAACCCTGTTCGTTAATAATGGAAGGTAGAGAGAGATCCAAGATGGCCGATTAGCAGCAGCTCAGGATTGCAGCTCCCAGTGAAGACGCAGGGAGTGAGTAGAAGTCAGACTTCCAGACCAATTTTTGTTGCCCACAGACCAGGAGATTCCCAGCAGAGGAGCCCCACGGGTCACCAGCACAACTCTTTTGGCGGGAGCGGCTGTTTTGCCGGCGTCCCGGTGTGGCGGTTCTCAGTGCGGAGTATGTGGGACTGGGTGCCCTTTTAGTTGGCGTTTGGAGCTCCGTGAAGGCAGAGTCGCCCATTCAGCTGCTTGAAAAGGGGACTGAAGTGGGGATCCAGACCGGGAGATTCCGGGAAAGAAAAGCACCACGAATATCAGTGCCACTGTTTCAGCCGGCACGGTCACCACAGGGGAAATTGCATAGATCCCGGCGCCTTTTCGGCGGGTGACTGGGGCATCTGGGAGAGAATCGAATGTTCAATTAGGAAAAGAAAAAAGGGGGCTCCGAGGTGGGGGAGCCAGGTGATCTGGCTTGGCTGGTCCCGCCCCCACAAAAAAAAAACAGCAATTGGAAACGCTGACGGTTGAGAGTTTCACAGCAAGCACAGCTGAAACCAGGAAGGTCCAGCTCTGTGGGGAAGAAGCACCGCTAAAGGAAAACAAAGAAACAGAAATAACATCATTACCAACAAGCTGGACATCCACTCAGAGACCCAATCTGAAAGCCAGCAATTACAAAGATGACAGGTGGATAAATCCACAAAGATGGGAAGAAACCAGCGCAAAAAGGCAGAAAACATCCGAAATCAGAACGCCTCTCCTCCTTCAGGGTATCGCAGCTCCTCATCAGCAAGGGAACAAGGCCTGATGGAGAATTAGTGTGATTAACTGATAGAATCAGGCTTCAGAAGGTGGATAATAAGAAACTTCTGTGAGCTAAAAGAACATGTTCTAACCCAATGCAAAGAAACTAAGAACCTTGAAAAAAGGTTTGATGAAATGCTAGCAAGAATAGACAATTTAGAGAGGAATATAAGTGAATTAATGGAGCTGAGAAACACAATACGAGAACTTTGCGAAGTATGCACAAGTTTTACTGGATGAATTGAC